GACATGGATAAATCCGTTTCTTCTTCACTTTTGTTTTTTACTTTGTTTTTGTTTGTGGATGGATTTTCTTTGACTTTTACATACATATGACTACTTTATTTTGTATTAATTTTATGAAATTGATAAGGACTTAAAAATATAGTCGAAACGTTTATCAACTGCATATTTCTATGTATTATTTATTTATGCACGTCTTCCTGCATTGACTCTATCATCCTTTACACTACTTTTTTACTTTGGATACAACTTCTCAAGAAACGTTTTATGGTGTATATGCAGTTGTTTTAAATTTAATGAATCATAAAATGTAAATTGTTTCTGTATCGTAATAACTACAAACCCAATGTCCACCTGCATTTGTTGTCATATTGCCGCAACTATTTATTTGTATTTGAATATGTTTTTTATCTTTAGCAACAGGTTCAATTGTTTCAGGTATTTGAATTTTTATTGATTCACGTGGTTGATACTCATATTGAGAGTATATCTTTAATAATTTACCAAAATAATCTATATGAGTATCTTCCAACCAATGACCTTCACGAAGTATGCGCAAATCGCGCGCGGGTAATGGTCTTATATTCTCAGGAACTCTTCTTTTTGTTTCTCTTTGTTCTGTACTTATTTGTAAAATATTAAAATTATTATAAAAATCTTCGTATGAGCTTTACTGAACGTTTATTTGAATATAAGATGTAAATAATCCAAATGAGTAACTGTATTTCAAACGTTTCGACTATATTTTTAGTCCTCCTCAGTGTCTGTATATTACAATAATAGTACATAATTTGGAAACAGATATAAATATATATAAAATTATAATAGATGGAAAAACAATGAAAAATANAAAAAATACCTTTAAACAAATTATAAAAGTGAAAACGTCAANGTGTTAAAATGGATGTTGTCAGACGGATTGTGTAGTCAACAATAAGGTAGTCAGATAATAACAAGAGTGTTACAATGATTAAGTTTCGTTTACAAGATAGCACATGGAAATGTTACTTATTGATGTCCTCCAATAAAGGCAAATATGCATTGTCTAGCAGATCTGTGTCCGTCATTTTATTGATGCTGTTTTTATGTAATTTTATGTGTAACATTTCAGATGTGAGACGTTTTGTGTAATTCGGTTCATGGTCTAATATGCGTATGGAGTCCCATAGGAAATTATGGCCTGTTTGTAAATGATGTTCTGCTAATACTGAGTTTTTATTGAGTTTTATTACATTATTTTTGTGTTCTTTTGCCCTTGTG